TCTATCTATCTATCTATCTATCTATCTATCTATCTATCTATCTATCTATCTATCTATCTATCTATCTATCTATCTATCTATCTATCTATCTATCTATCCCTTCCACAGCTCTTGCAGCTCGTCAGCTTAATGAATAATGGATTTGGGTTGAGGTAGCTCAGCTCTTCACTTGGAGGCAACGGGATAAAAAAAGGACCTAAATTACCGTTGCTCATTAAGTACAGTTAGAGAAAAGTTGCAGTGTTTTTCCGTCGTTCCGCGTTTGATCTTGGCGAACGTACAAAGGGAGGGAATTAATTAACAAGTCTCCATGGGAGGGATAGGCAGGGATGTGGAATTGGCTCTGAGGGAGGGAACTGGTGTGTGTGTTGGTGTCTGTTTACACCAGCGCTAGTTCAGTCTCTGGTTCTGTTTGTAGCTGTGTGGGTGTGTTTGTGTGTTCGTCTGTCAGTCACTGTGTGTGTCTGGGCTCTTCAGACACGGCGTACGTAACGCTGCGCTTCATGGGTTTGTTAAAGGGATGGCATCCTGTCTTTCAGACATACACCACTTCTACATTCCTGTTCCTCGTGGCTTCACTCCGACGTACCAGAACAGTGAGGACAGAGCCATGTGTTGTCTGTCATAGGCACCAGATTGGACATCAGGTGATGTTTGATACATGATGCTGCACCAATAAACTCAATATTACATCTAAACTTGCTGCAAACTCAGAAAACTGATGTATGGCTTCTGAAACAATGACAGCTCTTTCCTAATCAGAACTGCTTCTTTACCTGTAAAATAAAAATGTCTCAGAGGCTGTGATGGAGCTCAGAGCTCCACCTGAGGGCAGCTGCACGGTCACACATGATCACCTGGAGCTGACAGAGCTGGAGATCCGTTCAGTGGGTCTTGCTGTTCGGTCCTGTCTCCACGTCAGGGATCATTTATGATTATAATCAATGCAGGTCCTGCTGGTGTTCCAGGTGCATAAAGCTGTTCAACTCTCTCTCTTTCTAGACACTGGTGTGCATGTTGCTTCTGTCTGATGCTGCAGGTATTTATTACAGGACCTCAAAGCCTGGTTCAGGTACTGGTGAGTCCAGTTCATCTGACCGCTTACTCTGTCTTCATGGCAGTCAAGTTTCACTTTAAAGGACATTTCACAGCTGTTGAGGAGTTTTGTAATTCTGACTGAAACGGTGTGTGTGTCCTCTCTGTCATGTTTTGATGCGCTGATGTGGACGTTCCCAAACTGCTTCACAAAAGCTGAAGTGCATCGCTTGTACCGTCCTGTTCATGCAGCTGCATGGAGTTCAGACTTCTGCAGAGTGGAAAGTTATGATGAAATCTCCTGAAGCCCGACCTGTTGTGTCTCTGACAGAATAGTGAGCAGGAGGCTCATTCAGATTCATGGACATGACAGCGTGTGAAAGGGTCTGATGGGTTCATTGTGTTGGATGCGTGTAGACCGGTGCAGCTTCTTCGTCTGTCCGTTCTGTTGGTTTAACAGTAAAGTTATGTTGTTCCTGTATGTTGTTGTGTTCAGGTTTCTATGCAGGGCCGAGTGTCTCCTGGGATGTAATCCCATCACATCCAGAGAATTCACCACAATGTCATCAAGAGTTAGAAACTAAAACTATGCTGTCAATAATCTGCTTTTACCTTCTTTCAACCCTTCGTTATCAATAAGTGTTCTACCTCCAACAACGTCTGCTGTGAAGGGTTTCCTTGATGAAAATCTTTAGAGTGAACAATTTCAGTCGTGCCATATCTGAGATCAAAAGAATAACTCATGAGCTATGTGCGGGTCGGCATTTCTCCTTTAAAACCCTAAAAGGGCTTTTAATGACGGGGCTATGGGTTTGATTTGCATATGGAGACAGCTTCCAGACAGGGCGCCGCGCTCATGTTGCTGTACAACAAGACTTAATGTCATGTTGCTGTCAAACAGCGAGACAGGGACGCTGCTAAGTCAATTACATACACTGACACGTGCACAGGCGCGCACCAACCAGGACGCATAGAAACACGTGCGTTCACACATTCATATCCACACACGGCGGCCTGGTGAGACGGAGCGCCTCGCCTTATGTCACGGCTCTGTCTGTTTATGAAGGAGCTGCTCAGCCAACCATGACCTGGATGGTTTCTACAGATACGAGGAAACCTTGCTGGATGGCAAGGTCGTGTGTGTGTGTGTGTGTGTGTGTGAAATAAACCCACACACCTTGAGTGTTTAACACATGGACAGTCCCACCTTGAGTTGTGGTGTGTAAGTGTGTGTGTGGAGCCTCGGGGAGAGCTGGAGCGCTAAGGCAGCACTTCTGTCAAAGACATCATCTGACTTATCTGACTGCCCTGGGCTGTGTGTGTGTGTGTGTGTGTGTGTGTGTGTGTGTGTGGTGTGTGTGTGAGTGTGTGTGTGTGTGATTGATTGATAAACGGTCTGGTTATCCTCTTGCTGTCTTATTAGAGATCGAGACAAGCAGGTGGTGCTGAGGGAGCTGGAGGAGGTCAGTGAGGAGAGAAGGAGGTGATCAGGGATGGAGTGAGAGGACTGGAGGAGGAAGAGAAGGGAAAATGTAGAGATGAGTTAAATTCAAAATAAAAAAAGAGGCGAATGACTTCAAGCAGGTGGAATGACAGAAATATGGTGCTTCAAGGGAAACAACGAACCACGAGAGGACGACTGAGAGCAGAGAGACGTTTGTAGAGACGTCAGAGGCAAATAAAAGGCAGGATAGAATGAAGGGAGGCAAAGAGAGAGCAAACAAGATAAGATTTACAGTTTATACAGAGATGCTCCAAGAATGAAATGCAGACATAAAGCAGGACGACTTCAAGGAGATGCAAAAAAGTTCTGAATTTCGTCTAAATAAGTGTAAAACCCTCTAAAAGTAGAAAATAAAGCAACAAACTAGGTTAGAGAAAGTGAAACTGTTAAACTGAACATTTCTTAAAAACTCTAATTAAGATGTGGCACACACACTTTGGGCAGATCAGAGTGAAATCCTTGCATCATGCTTGTTGTCTGTGGTTCCTCCCAGCACTGGGATGCATAATGTTCCACCACAGGACAACTGCTTTGCTCCTAATTAGCACAAGAAGCATTTGTGCTGAGGAAGGTCAAACATTTCACCATGACGATGCTTTCTCTCTCTCTCTCTCTCTCTCTTTTGTGTTTAGAAAATGAGAAATATCTTGAAATGAGGAATGCCCAGAAAGATGAATGTGCTTCTACTGGGCACTGGAGTTTTCAGAAAGTTTGACTGTTTAATTAGAGGAGAAGACCGACCCATAAATCCTTTTAATGGGTTCCAACTCTGTGGAGGTTTAAGAAGATGGACTGTCTGCTTGGTAAATGTGTACAGTGTGCGTCTGTGTGAGAGAGCATGCACATTAGAGCTGTAACTATCAGTTACTCTTCTCCTTGTTATGTTATCCTTGTTAAGAGAAATGTCAGAAACATGACATGGATGCTGCCACTGATGCATACATGCTGACGTTTTATCAGCGGCCTGTATTCCAGACCACGCTGGCCCTTTATGAGATAACAATCTTTCCTGAAAATGATGCTAAAGAAGTCGGGGCTGTACATTGAACTGCAGCTGTGCTAACGGAGCAGCTCGTATTCCTCCTATGGTCCAGGCTGAACCTGTCAGTGCAGGCAGAGGGTTGCATTATGGGCTGTTTGTAGCTTAGCATTATTTCTGAGCTTATTCAAGTTCACTTTAAGTTTTTTTTGACATATTGTGCAGTCTGCTTTGTCTCAGAGAGGAGATACAGTATGTTCTGGGCGAGTAAAAGATAACTGAAAATGGGCCAATGTGACAGCAGAGTGCTTCAGGTAAGATAACAAACGCCTTAAAGCAGTGAGTTCCTGGTTGGACCCCCCGCCGGACTGCACCTCCCTGGACGCTCTCCATCCCCACAGACCTGTCTCTGTCTAATGAAAACCAAATAACAAGCACAGAAAGAACAGCTTCAAGCCGCCATGACCTTCCCTGTCAAAGCAGGCTGTGATGTGAAGCTAAAACATGGTGCATCAAATAGAAATATTACAAAACGTTTCATTTCCAGCTCACTCTCGCTGCCTGGGTCTCTTCTCTGCTTTAAACTTTTGGTCGATGTGCAGCAGGAGCTCCTGGTGTGATTATTGCTGCTTCACTGTATAATAGCTCCACAGTTTATGTGCGTCTAAGAATTTGAATAAAAGAGTTTTTTTTCTTGAATGACGAGCTCCTACAGTAACCTCTGTGTTTCCACAGTTCTGTAGCGTATAAACGAGCTCCTGTAAAGGCCTGGATGTACTCACTGTCGGATCCCAGCGCCAGGTCCTGCCTGGTTCCGTGCGTGCCGTGTCCAGTTGAACTGCTGCTGGCCGTGTGCAGCGACCAGCTCACACCTGACTGAGGATCAGCCGACCAGCCGCACAGGCTCTGCTCAAAGTCACACACAGCCGACAGGGACGGGGTGGTGGCTGCCAGTCGGGAGGAAAAAAGACAGATTATCAACACAGAGCATCTTTTTCTTTAAATAAAACACGACTGATTGGCAGCTCATCTTCTCTTCTTGTTTTTTCTCTGCTTTCTAGTGTTGTGTCAGCTTTAAACTTCTTTCTTCTCACTTTCCTTTTACGACACTTGATGTCATAATGGCCGGCTTCTCTTTATTTTGAAAGTGCTGTGAGAGATATTCCCATTGTGTTTAGATGTTTTGGCAATAGTCTAAATGTAACGTGACATCTCAAACAATCGTGCTGAATACAATTATTAGAGTGTAGAAGAATAAGGGAGAGATTATGTGAAGAAAGAGAATTACAGGAGACGGCGGCGATGAGCGAGTCGCTGCAAAGACAACGAATCAAAGCGGCACACGACGGACAGAACGAAGCCGCAAAGTGAAGGGTGACTGATAAAAAGCTTAATGAGACACATGAAAGACAGACACAGAGCGAAAATAAAAGAGGACTGGAAATAAGACACTAAAACAAGCTTTAATTAGTCTAAATGGCTGAATCCAGTAATGCAGCACCAGGAGCTGCTGAACATCATCTATCCCGATAAACCCGACTCTGGAGACGCTGCTGTGAGGCGACTGTGAAGTCACATCCTGACATGTGTGTCTGTGTGCGAGGAGGGAGATCCTCGGGCCGTGAGAGCTTCTTTTCACTCAAACAGAGCTTCCTGTGGGACTCTTGAGCCCAGCGGCCCCGTGGTGCACGCCGCCATCATGAGCCTGACCTGAAGAGCGTGAGTGTGTGTGGACGAGAGGCAGGCAGAAATGGATGCGTGTGTGCGCCTGTGTGAAATCTGCATACGTGTGAGAGCGCTTCGACATGCGTACCGGGTCTCAGCGCCGGAGTCGTCTGCTCCACCCTGGGCGAGGTCGGGGTCGCTGTGTCGGGGACGGTGGTGGTTTCTGTCAACAGCACAAACAGCATTAAAGGACAGGACAGAGTGGAAAGACCTGCAAACACTAAATAAACACTTCAACACGCAGCAGCTGGTACCGGACTTACCGGACCCGGTCCGAGCTCTGCTTTTTAAATATTCACAGTCCGTTCTACATCTGCCTCACTGCACAAGAGTAAATGGAAATATTTGAACAGTGCAGCTGTGATGTTTGAGCAAAGCCAAGATTTAGACTCGATGCTAACTAACGATGTTTGTACGCTGCTCTTCTCCAGGACCGTGTCTAAAAGCTGACGTTTGTCAGGATCCAGGCAGTGACGGAGCGAGCCGGGCCTGAGCTGGCACTCAGCTGACCGTGGCACACTGTGAGTTTATCTGCTGCACACACACACACACGCACACACACACACACACACACAGTGCTACGATGATAGATGCTGCACTCACACTGACCTTGGAGCCAGCAGCATGCAGCCATTGTACCGTAGATCAAACACACACGTCAGCATCGGGGTACGTCAGTGGAACCCCAAGACCTTCTGGTCTTAATAAGCACTTTTCTACTGCTGGTTAGGATTCCTTAAATGGCCCTGAATGCTTTACCAGCTCCCTCTCTCTCCCTCTTCACACACACACACACACACACACTCCGCGGTGAAAGTGTGTGTGTGTGTGTGTGTGTCTATACGTTGACGTAAGGGAACAGCAGATTGTGTGGCCGGCATGGCACAGGGCTGACACCACAGACCTCTCACCAAATTACTCTCACAAGCTACTTTTTCCTCTCTTCTTCACTTGGTGGACTTTTCTTCCCTCCTCCCTCGTCTCTGTCATTTGTCTCAATAAGTCGGACCAGATTCAGCTCTGCTCTGCAGAACCACCATCACCGCCACAGAAAGCTACACACACAGAAACACACACATGCTGTCTCCGTCACACACACAAAGTCAATCTCACTCTTTCTCTGCTTCTCCGGCAAAGAAGTGAAATCCTATCTGGTGTTGTTTCTGTGTTTCTCCTTCAGAACTCTTTCTCTCTCTGTCGTCTCTCCCTGAGCTGGATTTTGATTTCCACTCATCCTTTGCTGTTGTCTACCCGCAGCTCTTTCTTTCTCTTTGTTAAGATTATGTCTCTTCTTTTTGCTCCTTCCAAACATCTCTCGCTTTCTTCTCAACCTTTCAGCGCCTCTCTCTGTGCCATAACTCTGTCTAGTGTTGTTTTATGCAGATCCTAACCACCGGCTCAGCTGCTGATTTAGTGCTGCTGCAGCGGTGGAGCTGTTTCCATGACTCACACGGCCATCTCCGCTCTGTTTGTGTCTTGTTTAGAGTGAACTGCTAACCTTTGCTAGCCTTTGCTAATAGCTCTGAGTTGACTGCAGAGTCTTGGTTCATCCGTTCATCTAATGTGTGCAGAGCTTCCCTGGTTTGTTTACACAGTGAAAGTCTGCAGGATTGTTCTGCAAACACTCACATCGCTGTTCCAACACACACACACACACACACACACACACACACACACACACAGAATTAGATATTAACACTGGATAAGCAGCTCCCAGCTGCTGACATTAAGCTGTTTTAATTTGGTGCCCTTTACCGCTGCAATTAGCCCCCCATATGGAGGAAGAGAGGGGGGATAGAGATGAGAGAGAGCGACACGAAGAAGGAAACATGACACTTTCCACCTCGCCCCACCATTTTCCTAATTAGTGACCACACACAGCTCCTGTCAGCCTCCTGTTTCCATCTCCATCTCCCTCCACCTGTCTAATCCAATTCTGCTCTCTGGCTCTCCTCCCCTCTCCTCTGCTTCCTCCATCCCACATCCTCTTCATCATCTTTCTCCCACCTCCTGTTTCTATCCATCAGGGTCTCCACTGCAGCATCTGTAAAGGTCAGTCAAATCATTTAAATAAGTTTCATTCATTATAATTTATTACAGATCTGTTGCTGTACTTACAATTGCTGTTGCAGGAAGTTTTTCCTTTTTTTGCTGAGCTGAATTAAGACCAAGTCGGGCCTTCTGTGTTTCTGTGGTAACGTAAAGTGCATCATCTGCCGTAAGCCAACAAAACAAATGCTTGAGTAGAAGCTCTCCTTTATAACTTATCATTGGTAGTTTGTACATGTTTTACATCGATGGTGCCTTCATGCAGTGCAAAGTTCTGAACTCTCCAGAGATCCTGTGCTTCACACATCTCAGGAAAAAGCCACTGACACGGTGCTGCTGCCCAGCCGCAAACTATATCCTGTAAAAAGCGCAGAGGCACATCCTCTCAGAAACATCCACAGGAGCCAGGTGTGTTTTCTGTGTTTCATGTGACTGTCCAGACCCACACGGACCTGTTATAGCATGAATAGAACTGTCTGCTCTATGCCTTCACACTCTGCATCCGACTTGCCTGGATAGGAAGGAGAACGCAGGCCAATGAGAGCTCAGTCACTCATGGAAACATAACTCAGTCACGTTTTTAACAACAGGATGTTAAAGAGAAAAACAAAACAGTCCTTACGTCTGTATTCTGGGTTGGGTCATCCTGAGTTCTGGACTCAGACTCCATCTCTTGAACACACACACTCTTCAAACTGAGAAACAGAAGGTGTCATAGGCCCAAGGGCTCATCGTAAAGCTGCTGACTGAGCAGGACGAAGCGGAAACACAGAGACGAAACTGTTCAATTATGGAAAGAGCTGTGGGTATAAATCTACCTCTGGCAGCCTAAATAATGACTCCTGACACACTGTGTGAGTGTGTGTGTGTCTGGAAAGAGAGAGAATGTCGTCGCTACTCAATTATTGGTGACACGGTGTGTGTGTGTGTGTGTGTGTGTCATTACTTAATGACTGGTTGATTGACTGACAGCGTGCCCTCTTTACAGCACAGATCTCCAGTAATAGTTCACTGCTTAGACGAGCTACAGCTGATTGGCTAATCCGTCTGCCATAGGTATCCACTCAGAGTAAGTAGAGCCTCCACTTAAAAATACATCTTTCTGTCCACGCCATTCTATTAACTTGAAAGCTCCTTGACAACTGTAGCTGTGTACAGCAGTGGTTAGCAGCATAGCCTTGGTCTGAGCCTGCGACCGCTGGTTTCAGTCTAGATTCTCTACAGCAGCTCTATGCACGCTGAAACGGCAGCAGCACACAAGAATGAAGCAAGTCTGTAGTGAGAGGGAACTTGGATAAGCAAAGTTTTACTTCTTCTGCATTTTAAAGTCTGACATCAAATTCGAAGAACACAAGTGTTTCTTGCATGAAAATCATGGCAGCAATCTGAATGGCAAATCAGACAACTGTTCTTCAAAACCAAGCGGCAGGTTTGGTTCGTATGTAGCTGAAAGCGCTCCACTAATTATGACTCCTCCGACTGCACATGAGTGGTTGGGAAAATGAGTTCTTTACAGAAAGGAATTATTTCCAGACTAAATGCCTAATTAGCTCATTGTACAGCAAGCTACCAATAATATCTATTTTTATGCTAAGTGCTACACTGGACCACACGTTTTTATGTCTCGTAGACGGGGAGAGAGTTTCTTCAACCCAGTAAAACTCAGCACATGGCTGTGGTTAAAAAGACACCAACAACAGAGCTTAAAGTGTGGCTAAAGGCAGAGCCACGAGCTGCACAGTGGAGACACCAGAGCGAGGATGCTCTTTATGTCAGGAAACTACTGACAGTGAGTCGCTCATTAGCCCATCGTGCAACAAAGCACCACAAGGTATGTGATTGTAATTGTAGCCTTAAGTGTCAAGCTAAGTACGACAACAACTGAGATGATAAAAAGAAGCTGCTGGCAATGAATGGTTAACTACATCAGCGAACCAAAGTCAGCTACAAAGGAAATGAGTTTAAGTGTGGCAAAAACCATTAAGCTAAGTATGCCATTAAGATCTGTGGAGACGAGAAGGACAGCTTTCTCGCTCACTGTGCATTAATATGTTAACAAGGATATGGCTTGAACTGCTTCCAAGGCTCAATCACTACTTTTTGGCTGCACTGAACTGCAGGACACTGACAGAGCGTCTGTCAATTCTGGGTCAGGGAACAAAAATGTGCATGTTGTGAGCTTCACCACTGACTAGATGGGCTGATTGAACGCTGTGGTTTCACACCACATCCATCACAAAGTGCTGCAGTAAAAACAATATTCTTATTTGGTGCTTTAGCTGTACCTGGTGGACTGCCTACCAGAAGGTCAGTCACACTTCACTTTTCAGCACTTACATGAAGTTTTCCAAAAATCAAGGCCTGGATGAAGGAAACGGAGAAAAAAGATGAGAGGCCTGCATATCTGGGAAACACTGAAACGGCACGGTGGTGAGCAGAACCTAAATATTCATCATGGAAAAACACCAGCTTCTTTGCACACAGACACACATAAACACACAATCACCCACAATGAACCTGAGCCCAGTCCTGAGTGCTTCCATGTGTAACATGTCAGAGGAGGCGAAGAGATGAAAAGATCAACTGAGCTGTGCTGAAGTCAAGGAAGGTTTGTTGTATATGGTTTAAAGTAGCTTGAAGGAGCACTAATTATGCACACTTACAGATTTAGAATCTGCTACGACTGTGTTTACATGCTTCAATGCTCAGAAACACATTTGTTCTCGTGCTGTATTTTTGCCTGCTGTCAGCAGCATCCCAGTCCTAGCTGAGGGGACTCTATTGAGGAAATAATGGAAGAGGGTAAAGAAGTTGTTCAGTTTTTGTTTGAAGACGAGACAAACTAGCTACTAAGCAGGACTCATGCCAATGTGTTGCATGAGGATGTAGATAAGAACCCGACCTCCTTAACTCCCTCCAGCGTGGACACTGGGCTTTGTAAGGTTTCAGACCAGACAGAAAACAGCCATATAACACATTCAAGAACAGGGGAAAAACCAAAAAAGGGGAATCTGGGCTCTTTAAGTTCTCTGGGTACACTGCTTGGTTTTCAGACATTTAACACTGAAGCATCTCTGCAACCTGTAGACTTGGCCTTCTGTCTTGGTTAGAACA